TATTGTCCCCTCGTCCTGTTCAAGTTTTATGATTTTCTTCTTCCCATGCTTACCATTTGCAACCGTATGGAAGAATTGTGTATTATCGTCCCCTTGGACAACCTTAAGCGTTTTCGCACGCAACGCCCACTTCAGCTCCTCCTATCTCAAGAGAGCTCGTAGACCTTTCTCAGCCTCGGACTTGGTTCGTTGCTCATTAACACAAAGGAGAGTGGCTTCAGCCTTTAAGTCTAGTGCCTCAATCAATTGAGTACGACGCTCTTTTTCTTGTTTGTAAATTCCACTCTCATTTCTGGCCCAACCTCTCAGAAACTGTCGGAGATGTCTAATTTTATTTTGCCATCTCTCAACATGTGTCCTTCCACTAACCAGCTTAGCCCATTCTCGTGCAATCATCTCCATAAATCCTTCTCGCTCAAACCAACTTTGCTCGAAGGAGAGGATATTTTTATTTGCCACATGGTAGCCTCACCCAAGTCTAAAAGAAGTGGTGTGTGATCCGAGATCGCTCTCTGCATCACATGGACCGACACCAATGGATATTTTTGTTCCCACTCCACACTAGCAAGTACCCTGTCCAGCTTTTCATAAGTCGGAATAGGTAACGAGTTGGCCCATGTAAATTGTCTACCGGTGACCTCTATTTCTCTCAAATTAAAGAACTAGCCTGAATGCACATTGATGCTCATTTATCTTCTTTATCAAAGTTCAAAGCATTATAAACATTTACCCTAAATGCACATTGATGATTCCAGAAAATAAGCCGTTCAAATCAGCTAGGCTTTGAACTTTGATGATCTTCTAGTTCAAAGCACTTTGAGTACTCCACAAAATTCAGTAAACTTTCCTACACTGGTCACGGTAAACTTTCAGTACATCAATAAATCCATGATTGTTTAGAATAAGATACTGATTGACATACATCAGAATGATAGTCCAGTGTCACAAATCATAAGGGTTTAGAATAAGATATCTTCTACATTTCTTTATGTGACAAACACCCCTAGCACCACTATTGGAGCCATTACTAGAGTAATTTGTTGTTCCTCATTTTGAATGAGTGGTTATACTGCTGTCAAAACTACTGCATACACACATTGTCAAAACTGACAAGATGGTGGTGGAGGTGGGAATAAATGTTCCACAACATCTGCTGGACTAGAAAATAAATGTGTGTAGTTTTCTCCACAACAACTACACACACTGTCAAAACTGACAAGATGTTCTACTATTGTCAAAACTGAAAACTGAAAACTACTGTCATTTTAACTGAATTTCTCTGAAGACATAACTGATTGGCTCCTGGATATTGGTGAGAATCACAGTCTTGTGGTTGAAATTCTACACACACTACATTTACTACTGCTGTGTAAATTTTTAACTAACTCAAGAAAAGTGAGGTAGAAAATTTAATACACGATCACTGAAATTTTGAAAAATCAGTTGAAGCTTCAGTTTTGCATATCAAGTCTGATTGCCACTAAATTGAGTACAAGATCACTGAAATTTTGTTTGAAGCTTCAGTGTAAATGTTCCATTTTTAGAGTACAAGATCACTGAAATTTTGTTTGAAGCTTCAGTGTAAATGTTATATTTTCAGAGTACAAGATTACTGAATGCAGTTTCTTGGGGGTCCTATTTTTCAGTGTAAATGTTCTATTTTCAGTGTAAATGTTCTCCGTAATGGAGTATTGCTTGTCAAATTAGTGTGTAGAAATTTTAGGGCTATGTCTAGAAAATCATGTTAGTCCAACAATATTCATCTTTTTCTGTTTAGGAAGAAGAAGAAGAATCTAGCTAATTCAAATAATTCTAAATTAATTCAAATAATTCCAAACTAATTTAAATAAACCTAGCTAATTCAAATAATTCCAACTTAATCGACAGTAACAGTAGATCAGAAATTGCTTCTACTCTAGGTGAGGATCATAAATTATCCAAAGTTCAGTTAACTTCTGTTAAGATTCAGTTAAATCATGAATATTGGACATTGAGGGACACATTCAGTTAACTTCTGTGTTAACTGACTCTTTTTTGCAACATTTCTGCAGAGTACATGATCAATTGTGTTTGAAATTAATGAACAAGTGTTATGTAGAGAAATTGGAGCATGGGTTCTTCTCACTGGCAGCATCACGAGCAGGGGAGCTCCGTGCAGCATAACGAGCAGGCCCGCCGGGGAGAAGCAGCAACTTGCAGATGAGCAGCAGGTCGAGGAGAGGAGTGGGCTTCAATTCCAGGCCCGCCGGGAGCTCCAGGTACAGGCGCTCCAAACCCAGGCGCGCGTAGGTCCTAGCGGCGGTAGCGCAGGCGCTGGGCGGCGGGAGGGGATAGCGTGGCAGCCCTGGGCGGCAGAAGGGGTCACAGTGGGAGAAGATGGCGGTGGCGCAGCGCCCTTCGGCCGGGGAGCCGCCGCAGAAAAGCAGGTGGACGACGCAACTCGCCTCGGGTGGCGCAGGTGGGCCCGGGCGGCGGTGGTTAATAGCGGCAGCGCTGGCCATGGCCATCGTCACGCGCTCGGCCCTACGATGGGTGCCGACGGTGGCTTGGGCGACCACGGTGCACGCGGCCGACGGAGAAATGAGGAAGAAGCAGCGGGGCGCTGATTAGCAAGAGATTTGAAGATGGAAGGTTTTTTTTTTTGCAAAATCGAAAATAAACTACTCCTTCCGTTCGAAAATATAGTGCTTCCTTTATCCCCGTGCTTCAACTTTGACTATAAACTTAACCAACAAGACCGAATGTGGCGGGTGCAAAAGTTATACCAGTGAATTCGTATTCAAAAGAACTTTTCAATTATATAATTTTTTTCTCCCACCACAGCTGGTCTCGTTGGTTAAATTTATGGTCAAAGTTGGACCTTTGGAAGCATGGGCGCACTAAATTTTGAAATGGAGAAGTAAGCGCTGGACAACTTTTTCCGGACATAGGGAGCTAGATGGTACTATTCCCGTGCTTCAACTTTCACCATAAATTTAACCAACGAGACCGACTGCGGCGGAAGCAAAAGTTATACCAGTGAATTCGTATTTAAAAGAAGTTTTCAATTATATAATTTTTTCTCATGCCACAGTCGATCTCGTTGGCTAAATTTATGGTTAAAGTTGGACCTTGGAAAGCGCGGACGCACTATATTTTGAAATGGAGGGAGTACCGTCTAGCCCCAGGATTTTGTCTTTGTTTAAATAACATGATTGATCCATGGAATAATTTATCTAGCAGCAGCTTGCTAGCAACAAGACTGATCCATGGAATATCGAAGCATCTTCAATAGATGATGTAGATGAAAAAATAACCTTTTTTTTACATCATGAAGGCTCCAAATAACCGTTATGCTAACCATTTCTTATAACAGTTTCATAATTTTATATGTGAGAGAGATCTAGATGCTTAAATTGTTCATGTCAATGGTGATGAACCAAAGTGGTAATATTATAGTTAATATTTTTTTTGTTCTTTTCATGTTGCCTTTTCGAATGATACCACAAGTCCATGAAGAAGCAAGAACCTTTCTGAAATATTTTGTGTCCAATCCTAGAAAGATTCAACAATTGTCGAGTTTTGACTCTATAGCATTATAATAATGCCTCAAATATTCGTAACTTCAGTTCACTTTGAGCATCATAAATTATCCGGATTTTGTTATCGTATATGGCGATAAATATCTTTATTAAAACTTATTTTTTGGCTACTTGTATATAAATCAGAATGATAGAGCATCTCCAACCGCGTCCCCAGAATGGCTTCCCCAGGCGATTTTTTTTTTGCCGGCGCCGAAAAAACAGCCCAGTCGCGCCCCCAGGAGCCCGTTTTTCGCCGGCTTGGGCCGAAATCAGCGCCGGTGGACCCAGGCCGAACCCGACGCGCCGGGGGACGCTCGGGGGCGCCGGGGCGAGCGTTTTGGCGCGAAACAGACGCGGGCCCGCCGAGTCAGCGAGACGGCCGCTTCGTCGACCTCATCGCCTCAGTTCTCATGGGAATCAATGCTGCAGCGCCGGTCAGCCTCCAATGATGCCTCACGGGCGGCGCAGTTAAAACGCCGCCGACGCGCGTCCGCTTGCATGCGCCACGCGTCCGCCCGCATGCCGCCCCGCCCGCCACCCGCTTCGGCTATAAAAAGGCGCCCTCCCTGCTGGTGAGCGCCACAACCTCTCCTCTCCCTCTCGCGAAAGCTTTCTTCATGCCGACGAGCTCTCCCCACACTGCCTTCCCCGCCGACGAGCGAAATGACCGAGAGATACCCAGGCGACGGTGCAGTGGCGAACGGCTTCGGCCGCCGACACCTCCAGGAGCCGGATGCACGTCTTCTCTACGAGGCCGAGTACCCGGAGTACAAGAAAACATTATTAAATTTTGTCTCGGTTACTGTTAATTGCCTTGTATAGATGCAAAATGTATTTTTTATAGTAGCATTGTATAAAGAAATGGAAGGAGTATTAGAAAAGCACATGTCTGTGCAGTTTGTGCTCTACTTGTTATAAAGTATTGCGCAAAGACCAAAGTATCACGGCCTGGGAGCTGCGCACATACTATTACAGCCGGATTTGCACGCGCGAAGAGAGCCGTGGGAACACGCCACGCTCATGCTGTCGCTGGCGATGCACCCACGCCATCTCTTCTTCTCGGAAGCTCACTTCCCCGAACCACGCCGCCCTGGCTGACTGGTCAAAGCCGCACGAGGTTTGACCCAGACTCCCTTCGCGGAAGCACTGCAAACCATCACGTTCCTATTTTAGCTGACGTCCACTGACACTCTTACCCCACGTGGTCAGCGACCAGTACACCTCCTCGGGCTTGCTGCTTGCTTGCCGGGAATCAGTACAGCCACAGGTCCACTGCTGTGCTACCGGCATCTACTTAAGGCGCCACCCAGCAACCACTCCTGTCCTCCGTTCACCAATCACACCACCCCTCTCCCAACCCAAGTCTCAATTTCAATATTTAATCTCCCTGCTCCTTCTAGTCTCGAAAAAATCTCGCTGCTCCTTCCGTCGATCGCCATGTCCTCCTCCACAGGGAGCTTGGATCACGCAGGGTTCACGTTCACGCCGCCGCCGTTCATCACGTCCTTCACTGAGCTTCTATCAGGGTCTGGCGCCGGCGACGTGGAGGGGTCGCCAAGGGGGTTCAACCGAGGGGGTCGGGCCGGGGTGCCCAAGTTCAAGTCCGCGCAGCCGCCCAGCCTGCCCATCTCGTCGCCAGCGTCGCCCTTCTCCTGCTTCTCCATCCCTGCAGGTCTCAGCCCTGCTGAGCTGCTCCACTCTCCCGTTCTCCTCAACTACTCTCATGTACGCCTCCTCCATCTCGTGTTGCTGATGTGCAAATCATTTTTTTTGCTAGTTTCGTATGTGCTTATGATCCGTGGTGCTGATTTTAGCTGCCGCCTGTGTTTCTGTCAGATATTGGCGTCTCCGACTACAGGTGCGATCCCCGCGCGGAGATACGACTGGCAGGCGAGCGCCGATCTGAACACCTTTCAGCAGGATGAGGTCGGCCGTGGAGACAGCGGCCTCTTTGGCTTCTCCTTTCACGCAGTGAAGCCCAACGCCACGGTCAACGCTCAAACAAATTACTTACCTTTATTCAAGGTACATAATACTAGTACAAAGATATTCAGTATTATTGTCGAAACTACCCTAGTACATAGGAGTACATATGATGCTTCAACGTCTTAACTTAGTTTAACTGTTACATCATGCACCGAGGCTGTATGCTAGTATAAATTATGAACTTGTTATGCTTTTTTTTTATCTCTTTGATAATACAGTCGTAGCTCACAAAGACACATATGTTTGTGCAGGAACAACAGCAGCAACAACAACAACAAGTGGTAGAAGTGAGCAACAACAGCAGCAGCGGCGACAACAACAAGCAGGTTGAGGACGGATACAATTGGAGGAAGTACGGGCAGAAGCAAGTTAAGGGCAGCGAGAACCCGCGGAGCTACTACAAGTGCACCTACAACAATTGCTCCATGAAGAAGAAAGTGGAACGCTCTCTTGCAGACGGCCGCATCACGCAGATTGTCTACAAGGGCGCGCATGATCACCCGAAGCCCCCCTCCACGCGCCGCAACTCCTCCGGCTGTGCGGCGGTCATTGCGGAGGATCATACCAACGGCTCGGAGCACTCTGGCCCGACGCCTGAGAATTCATCCGTCACATTCGGAGACGATGAGGCCGACAATGGCGCTGAGCCTGAGACCAAGCGCCGGTAAGTAATTGGTCATTGCTTGCCAAATACTACCTCTATAAACTAATACTCGGTGATGGCGCTGAGCCCGAGACCAAGCGCCGGTAGTATAAGATCACTAATATTATTACCTCCGTCTAGGTGAATAAGTCATTCACGTAGTTTTAGGTCATTGATTTAAGGAATTAAATATGTGTTATATGTCATGAAAAATATATCACTAGATTTCTACACGATTGTAGTTTCTAAATATATATTTTTTGTCACATATAATACATATTTAGATAGTTAAATCATCAACCTAGAACTACGCGAATGACTTACTCACCGAGACGGAGGTAGTAGTAACGCTGTGCTAATTTTCACTGCGGTTGGCTTTCTCGTAGGTGTTGTTAGATTAATTTGAAGATTTTGTGTGTTTGATTGGTTGTCAGGAAGGAGCACGGTGACAACGAGGGCAGTTCAGGTGGCACCGGCGCCTGCGTGAAGCCCGTGCGCGAGCCCAGGCTTGTGGTGCAGACGCTGAGCGATATAGACATACTCGACGACGGCTTCCGGTGGAGGAAGTACGGGCAGAAGGTTGTCAAGGGCAATCCCAACCCCAGGTGAGAATTAATTACCTTCGATCAGCAGGCAACTCGTAACCCTTCTCCTTTTTCACATGATGGGATGGGTAGTCTATCTATCTTACACGTGAATTAATCCCTTGGACCCTGTGTTCTTACTTGTACCGTGACGACGACGTTGCAGGAGCTACTACAAGTGCACAACGGTGGGTTGCCCGGTGCGCAAGCACGTGGAGCGGGCCTCGCACGACAACCGCGCGGTGATTACCACCTACGAGGGTAGGCACAGCCACGACGTGCCGGTCGGCAGGGGGGCCGGTGCCAGCCGCGCGCTGCCGACGTCGTCTTCCTCCGACAGCTCGGTCGTCGTCTGTCCTGCCGCCGCCGGGCAGGCCCCGTACACCCTCGAGATGCTCGCCAACCCTGCCGCCGGACACCGAGGCTACGCGGCCAAGGACGAACCCCGGGACGACATGTTCGTCGAGTCGCTCCTCTGCTAGCTAGCAGGCTCGGCCGCGGCTCTTCGTTCCCCTGTGGCGTTTACATGTGCGTCCACATGTACAATATGATACAGTAGCTGCAACATGTTTTTTTAGTTGATGCTTTTTGTTGCTGTTGAGTAATATGCAATTGTTTGATTAATTTAATGCAGAAAATAGATCATAAGCATGACGTAAACAGTACTAAGCACATACTGATATTTGATCACATATTTTCTATACAACGTCTCGTACCCGTTTTGGGGTTTCCTCTCCCAGGCGATAAGCTTTTGGCGGCTACGATATCCGCCAACTCCTCCCCGGATCTGACCTAGAGTTCCCTTCAATTTCATTTAAGAGAGATCATCACCGTATTAGGAGACATGCACTGACCTGGATCGCGTATTCGTTGGCTTCTGGGAAGATGGCGAGCGAGGATTCTACTACTTTGTGAGTTGACAGCGATGCTGCTAAGAACAGAGCGGACCTAAGCGGTGGCGCACACGGCGTTGACGTGGAAAAAAAGGTCAGAGAAACTGAGTCCTCTGGTGGAGGTGGCTCTACATCTAACACCGAGGACCTGGGAGACAAGTTCAAATATCTTAACCTACGCGAAGATGAACAGGGGGACGTCGTCTTAGAGGAAGACCTTGAGGAACTAGAGAAGGATGCCGAATTCATGGCACTGGCCAGGATTCATACCTCACGCACTTTCAGCCATGGAGCCTTCTTTGGAGCCATGAGGTCCGCGTGGAATCTTGCCCAAGAAGTGGAATTTAGAGCAATCAAAGACAACCTCTTTCCAGTGCAACTATACTGCTTGGTAGATTGGGAATATGTGATGCGTGACGGTCCGTGGTTATTCTGTAACTGCCCGATGTTGCTGGCTAGCTATGATGGTTGGTCGGAACTTGAGGATACAGAGTTATTTCACATATCAGGCATGTGTGAGAATCATGAGCTTGAAGGAGAAGATGCGCACATGTAGCATCACATCACAACTGGCTAAGAAAGCAGGAGTGGCGGAGTTTGTTGATGAGCGATCGGTGGAAGGACACGGAGGGGCGATCCGAGTGCGCATCAACTTGGATGTTCGCAAACCTCTGACAAGATGTGCTAGCCCAACCCTAAGGAAGAAGAAGGTCTATTTCAATTTTGAGTACGAAAAAATGCCCATGTTTTGTGGTGTTTGCGACTTTGTCAGCCATGTGGCTAAGGAACATGGCAATGTAGTGCAAGCCGCAAGTGACATTATCTACCTTCCCACTTTGATCGCCTTTGAACACCGCAGAGAGGACTACTCTTTTCAGAGGGGTGGTGGGAATAAAGGAGGCTGAACGAACCGTGGCAGGGCCCCGGACGCTAGTCGTGGTACTTACATGCCAAGAGAGTTCAATCCGGATGATGACGATCTTAAGAGTACAACTTTCAGCCCTACAAAAACCCCAAGCGGAGCTACTCCTTCGTCGGTCGCTACCAAAAGGTGCTTGGGTTGGATAGTCAGGATGTGTCGTGGAATAGTTAGAAAAAATACTTCCTCTTTTATTTGTGCGAGATCTCATAACCCGTCATGACGTCATCTTCTACGATCGTGGTAACTCGCAATGACGTCACCTGTCATAAATTTCACACAATATCTAATATATCTTATTGAATCTTTTTCTTTAATGACCTTTCCGAAAATCGAGGCGTCCGAACCGCTGGATAATCATTCTTTGACCTCCTCGTCTTTCGTGCCTACATGTTCACCCTTCTCCTTATAAATAGGGTCAGACCGCCTCCTTTCATTTCCCCCCTTCTCCTTCTCGTCTTCCTCCTCCTCTTACGACTCATCTGCCACTTCAAGCTCCGCCGCCGCCGCGAAGCTCACCGTCCTCCTCACCCTTGGTCGATGCATCAACCTAAACGGGACCAGAGAACGCCGACGCTCCATCGCAGTTCATGTCCATCTGTAAGCGTTCACCCTCCCATGCTCCAGATCTATATTAGGGTTAGCCCTGTTCTTTCTTGTTCTTCATCGTTCTTTGCTGTTCTTCGCTGTACTTCTAGTTAGCTCTTATTGTAGATCCAAATATATCCCTTAGGACGCGCGGAACCTGTTTCCACTCCTTCTGTTATCTCAAAACTTGCTTTACAGCTGCAAAAATCTCACCCTTGTGCTAGTTCTCCTCCTGCTGCAATATTTAGGTTTAGAATTTACTGCATTTTCTGTACTGCCACAGATCCGAAATTGTAGCTTCAATCTATGAAATCTGTTTGTCTCTCACTTAGCAAAATTTTCCCTTCTTGAGAGATCTTAACTGTGAATATTGTCATGGCAGCTTACATCACCAGTTGTAGCTAGTCATATATCATTAGGCCCCTTTTAAGCCGCCACTCTGAATATGTACTGTAGTGTTTTCCACCGGCTTAATGAATCAACTTTAAACCGGCAAAATTATTCTTTCTTTTAGGCTTCCTCCTTTACGATGCTTCCTAAGACAGCCACTTCATGCAACTGGGTTCCCTCCATTGTCACTGAGGACACGCTCAAGGACTTTGTGAAAACCGGCTATTTACCAGAGAAGAATGTCATGCATTATCGCGGCCCTGATCTGGAAGAAGAAAAACCTCAGCCAAAGGACAATGAACTCATCGTTTTTACTGATCACATGAATCGGGGCTTCTCACCGCCCGGTTCTAAATTTTTCCGAGATGTTCTGCACTTTTTCGAGCTTCATCCTCAAGACATCGGACCCAATTCCGTGTCAAACATATGCAATTTTCAAAGTTTCTGCAAGGTGTACCTTCAAGAGGAGCCAAGTGTGGAACTATTTAGGCAATACTTTTATTTGAACCGCCAAAATGAGTATTCGAACGGACCCAGCTTGGAACTTGGCGGGATATCAATTCAGCGAAGGAGAGGTGCTATCTTCCCCTACACTTGCCTGCCGAGTCATCCAAAAGATTGGAACCAGACATGGTTCTATTGCAAGGATATCTCTCCAGCTGACGAGAACCGACCGCCAGGCTATCGTGCCCAGCGTCTTGACTCAAAACATTCTCTTGCTGATAAGTTGACCGCTGCTGAACGTAAGAAACTCGCCCCCACCATTGCAAGGGTTAAAGCGCTTCTGGGAAACGACTTAATTGGTATTGACTTGGTTTGATGCTGGGTTGCATGGCGGATCATACCCTTGAGTTGCAGCACCGGCTTAATGTGTTCTTACACGGGTGTCAAGAAAGATCCACTACGCCATAGCTCTGTGCGTCTAACTGATGACGCCATCAATGAAATGACAAAGTCCCTTCTGAATGAAGACCCGACAGACTGCAGCAAAGTGGGTCTGAACCCTTTCTACGAACTTAACCCTGCACCAAAGTTGAGTCTTTAAATTACTTACTTTCCCTTCAGCACTCCAATATTCTACTAACTCGCTCTGATGACTGTCACAGGCTGAAGATGATTTTTGGAAGAAGAAATATGACCATGAAGCTGCCAAAAGGGCCAGGGCTACCAAGAAAGCCGCCAAGAGAACCGCCAAGAAGAATAGGAAGAAGACCAGTACTTCCGAGCTGTTTGAATTGGCCGACAGCTCTGAGTCGGAGGTAGCTCTTGATTCTCTTGGCTCCTTTTTCAACTATCTTATTGACATTAATTATCATTAGGATGACACAGGGACCAATCAAGCAATCGAGGAAGAGGCAACTATCATTTCCTCCGACTCCGAGCCAACACAGAAAATTCGAAGAGTAACCCGGAAAGTAAGCTTTTCACACCCCTTAGCTCATCTAGATCCTCACTTTCTTTTGAAGCAACAGTAGCACGAGAGCCGGTGACAAACTCGGACCAGTGGTGGCGAAGAATTATCTTCCGGCTTACCAGACACTCCATGGAAATGTCGAAATGAGGTTATCCTTGATCTAAATTTCTTCTTATCCTTTGGCGGGTCTCATCCGCCGACCGCTTAATTCTTTCAATTCAAATTATCAGGAAACATCTCGCTCCTCTTCCGGCGACTCATCACAGTCCCATCTGCCGGCTTTCAAACATCTCCTGGGTAATAACAAATACTTATTATTTGCTTCTTACGCTCCTTTATATTTATAGTGACCTCTCATGACCCATGTAGTGGAAAGGCCAAGCCTAGCAAGAAGGCAATGGTGACCAAGCCGGCTGATGACCCCAAAGTCAGTGAACCGAAGCAACAAGTTCCAGTGCTTGAAACCTCAGCCCCTCAACCAGAGAACTAGTTCTTGACGTTCCACCAGTGACTCCTGACCCTTCTGTCAACCAAGCGACCAATGATCCCTTAAATACTGAATCATCCAGCCCAATTAAACTGGCTGAGACACATGATGATGATGTGGTGATTACCAGCACCGGCTTTAAAGAGCCGGGAAGATCTACTGTCTTAGCCAAGCACTCTGCCAAGGAAGAACAGATTGAATGGTGCAAAGTGAGATTTGACGTTGCCAACTACTCTCAACTGAGCATTGGTGAAGTATATTCTGGCTATCTCAATCAAGTGCACACCAGTCGCGATCTTGAAGTTGACATGGTGAAGCAGATGCATAAAAAATTTGAGGTATGAACTCTTTCTTTATTGATTTATGCACATCCTGTTAGCCCCCAAGTCTATTGTTTATAATGAAATTGAATATGCTGTAGACTTAAATTAACCATGAGTATGAATAATACCCTTTGATAGAACTCTCCAAAATACGGCTTACCCCATCCGGGTTAAAGCAAATTTGTAAGGATTAACACTGAATCCGTAGCCCCCAAGGGTCGGTTTAATCGGCATGAATGAGCCGGTCCTTTGTATCCTTGTGTATAAAGCAGACTTTACTTGTGTCGCCCTCATGAACGGATCATCATAAAGTGTTGAAAAGACAACCTATATGCATTAGCCCCCAAGTGCCAAGTACTCTTGCTCGCAAAATGCTTGGGACTTCTTTCCTGTAATCCAAATATAAACATGATTTTGAACCGGTGTATGTACAGGACACCACTGCTCAACTTCAATCTCAATTAACTG